TTTTTGTTTTTTTTTCCTATTGAAACATAGTCTTAGGGCTGGGGAGAGAGCTCAGCAGTGTAAGTGCGTGCCTGGTAAGCACAAGGGCTTGGGTTCCTTCCCCAGTACTGCATCCCCTGGGCGCACTGTGCCGGCCACCAAAACCAAGCATGGTGATGCATGCCTGTAATTCCAGCACTAGGGTGGCTGAGACAAGGATCACTACAAGTAGCAAGATCCTGTACAAAATAAATACACAGATAATAAAAAGAAACAGAGTCTCACAGTGCACAAGCCTTGAAGTCATGGCAATCCTGCCTCAGCCCCCCCCCCCAGCTGCTAGGATTACAGGTGTGCACCACTGCACCAGACATGTACTATTTAATAATTAAAAATTACAAATTGGGATCGGGGAGATGGCTCAGTAGAACAAGTGCTTCCCTGGCTAGTGCAAGGGCCTGAGTTCAATCCCTGGTTCTGGGGAAAAAAAAAAATTACAAATTGGAAAGGAAAATGCATCTACTCAGTTTATTCCTTAAAATGTTTTAATAATACATCTTAAATACTCTGGTTTCTAGGATTCTGTTGAAATTCTTTGGATGGATGGATGGATGAGTGCAGGCAATTCAGTCATGCTAATTAACATACCCATCATATAACTATTTGGGTGAGAACATTAAAAATGTATTTTAGCAGTTTTAGAATGTGCATTATTTTCAGCTATGGTCACCATGAAATGTGATAATGCACTAAAACTTATTTCTCAGAATATGTATGAAATTTTTCAGTAGCATCCACTAGCATACACATTGAAGAACACTGGCATAATAACACTATTTGGGGGTAAAAAAGAGAAAATGGGGGAAGGGACTGAGGGGCAGGCATGGTGCTGCTTAACAAGGATTTTTTTTTTTTTTTTTTTTGGCGGAACCAGGGATTGAACTCAGGCCCTTGCGCTTGCCAGGGAAGAACTTGTTCCGCTGAGCCATCTCCCCAACCCCTTCTGCTTAACCAGGGATTCTGTTCTTTTCTTTTTTTTTCCTCGGGATATTGGGGATCAAACTCAGGACTTTGTGCATGCCAGTCACATGCTTATGCTGCTGACCTGTCTCCTTTATATGAACAAATCCTTTTTTTTTTTCCTGCAACACGGGAATTCATCTGTTGTCTACTACCAAATAAATTCCTGTGTAGAGCCTAAATATTTCTGTAGAATCCAAATCAAATATTATAAAGTATGGTCAGAATGCTTTCAGGTAAACCTGGAATCGTGGATTTGGTGGGGAATGTCCCAGGGCTGAATTACTACCAGAATAATAATTTATTTGTGAATTTTTTTATGTAATATGCTAAATCCTTATAAGCCAAATTTACTTAGGGTTAGTAGTTAATGTGAATTCTGGTCTTAGATGTGCATCTGCATTTATAGACATAAAGTCATTGAATAAGTAAAAATATGTCATGTTATCTAACATCTTAGAAAGCAAAATTATTTTCCAGATAGAGCTTAACATTATTATTAAGTTTTAGTTGTTTTCCCAGCCTTATTCAGCAGAATTAAATATGTCTTAAATGGTCTGTTTTTGACAGTGTCAGGCAAGACAATGGTTTTATCCTAGTTATTGTAGTTGGTGGTAGAAACAGGGACCACGTGGCTACTGAATTTGGAAACTTGCTTTCTTGAAACAGCTTTTATATAAACTTGTGTTTCAGACATGTGTATCTTGCTCATTAAGAAGTGATTTTTTAAATGTCACTGTTTACTCCCCAAAGCATTGTAACTTAGCTCCCTTCATAAAAAATTAAGTTGAGTCAGAAGCCAAAGTAGTGATTCTTTCAATCTCTTTTAAAAGGGGGTGGTGTTTTGCAACTACTGTCAAAGATCTTCAGTTTGAGGTTCACTAATCATCCCATTTGCTTAGGCTGACACAGGAGGATCACAAGTTCAAGGCCAGTCTGGACAATTTAATAAAACCATGTCTCAAGACAATGAAAACAGAAGAGCTGGGAGTGTACTGCTCAGTGCTTTCCTGACATGCACAAGTGCCCAGGGTCAATCCCCAGCACTGCAAAGAAAGACAAATAAATAAACAAAATTGCATGAATTAATGATAGGCTATTTGGAATGAGTCATTCCAATACAGAGCCCTACACTGCCTTTACATTCAGGTTTCTCATGTGTAGGCAAGACACCAAAGGACCTTTTGTAAAAACTCGTCAGTCTTCATAACAATAAAGACAATTTTGCTCACTAAAAAAGTTAGCGGTGTTCTTTCTATTGAAAGGAGTGTGATAGAATTTTTATGTTTTTAAATATCTTGGTTTAATGAAACTTCTGAAAGAAATAAGAAAATCCTTTCTGTTTTAAGTGCAGAGAGGGTACTTACACAGTGATATGACCAATTAAATGCATGTGTTTTTAAGAATGCATTTGCTCAAGAGAATTTGCAAGATCAAGGCCAGCAAGTTCAACAACTTGCCTAAGTACTTTGAGATAACTAGCAAACCTCGTGCAATAAAATGTCCATGAGTATGTCTCACTGCAGCATACTACAGAGATTCTCTTGGTTAGGACAAGTTGGCGGCCAACCTGGGTTATATAGTGACTTCAAGGCCAGCCTGAATTACATAACAGGATCTTGGTTCAACAAACAGCAAAAAAATTTAACTTATATAACCAGGCACAGTGACACACACCTGTATCCCAGCTGCTCTGCAGGCTGAGGAGGAGGGTTAGCAAGTTCAAGGCCAGCCTGGGCACCTTAAGGAGACCTGCCCCAAAATAAAAAGTAAAATTGGCTAGGGATGTAGCTCAGTAGTAGAGCACCCTGGGTTCAATCCCCAAAGCCACAAAAATAGGGCCTATTGTATCTTATCTATCAGATTTGAGGGGCTATTGCTGTTCCCTCAGAAATAGCGTGCCATCTAACAAGTGTCGCTGTATCATCTGACGTTGACAGTAATGTTATTAGCCACATGGTTGAATGGTTCTTACATGGTTCAATGTAAGAAATTCTAACTTTTCTTTATTTTTTGTTTATTTTATTTTATTTTTTTTTAGTCAGGGACTTAGTAGGCAATCCAGTCTGTCCTCAAACTCAGTGATCCTACTGCCTTAGCCTCGTAAGGGCTGGGATTACAGATCCACACCACCATGCCCAGCTGTTTTCTTATTTTTTTTTTAGACAATCTAATTAGAAATAGTATTTTCTTCCTACTTTGGAAACTTAACAACTGGAACATAAATTGTTTCCCAGCTGTGGCTAGAACCTAGGGCCTTGTGCCTATTAGGCAAGCACTCTACTGCTAAGCTGTATCTCCAGCCTTTTTAATTAAATTTATTTATTTTTTTCATTTACGTGTTTGGTACAGGGTCTTACTACACAGCTCAGACTCATAGTGATCCTCCTGTTTTCAGCCTTCCCAGTGCTGGGATTACAAGCTCACATCACCATGCCCAGACTCAGTTAAGCTCAGCATGCCCCAGGGCTGAGGGCTGGCATTGCATGCGGGACCGGGGATCGAACCCTGGTCCCTGCACTTGCCAAAGCAGGTGCTTAGTTGTCCAGCCTCACTAAGTTGTCCAGGCAGGCCCCAAACTTGTTACCACGTTGCTTCAGCTTCCCAGGTACATGGGATTATAGACATGTGCTACTACATATGGCTAAACATAGGATTTCCTGATCACAAACTCATAGATTTCTAGCAAAAAAAGCACAAAAAGGCCATAATTCTAAGAGAATTGTGAAACCATAGCCAGCCAGAAGATTTTCAGTGCATTAATGCTGAAGTGTGTGAAAAATGTATGAATATGTGGAAAGCTTATGTAGGACATCTGTATTTTTAGGGTTTTATGGACATGTGCAGCATTAGCATACTAAGAACAGTTAATCCAAAATCCATAGATAATTGATTGGAGCTGTTACTTCCAAGGTGGTAAACTCTGCCAAGGGCAGCTTGTGCCGAGGAAGGCTAGAGATTGGGTCTCGGGAGGAAGGGGACGCCTTGCCTACAGCTTGTGGTCTGTGATTCCAGCTCTGTCTCGCATATTGATCACGTTTCACTTGAAAACACTGGCTGTGTTTCTCCAAATTATATTGACTCATAAAAGTCTACTGTGTAGTTAGCAGCAGGCTAGAGAGACAAGTAGTCTGGTTTCTTCTTTGTGAGCTAGCTCTGTGAAACTGGCCTGGGTGCTTTAACTAAGCAGCACATCTGATTCTCTTTTTAAGTACGTGAAAGTACATGTTGGCTTTTACTGAGTCCTGAGCACAGTAGGGGCTAAGTACTTTATAGACCCACCTCATGCCATCCCCAGCCCATAAGGTGGATGCCGTCAGTGCCCTGTATGCAGGCTGCTGAACTGAGCAAGCGAGGTCATGTGCCTGCGACAGAAGCGAAACCCAAAACTGCATTTCTAATCTTTGCCTTTGCTGTGCTGTGGAGCTGCACCCTTCCCAGCAGCTACCTGCATAAAGACAGTGAATGCGTGACTGACCACTACTGAGTGATGAGGTTGTGCTAACTTTTATTCTTCATAACTTTATGCCTGGTTTGTCCTTCACAGTGAGGATGAATTACTTTTATATTCATCAAAATGCTACATGTCCCTGGATGTAACATTAAATGGAGCTAAAAACCTTGGGTGAGCTAAAAAGTGCATTGATCCTCATTCACACCACCCCAAAGCTGTTTATTTCTAGGTATTTTAACTGTTTCTAGTAGCAACCAGACTGTTTGTCAACCATAAGCAGGTGTCAGAGGGAAGAACACCAGAGATGCAGAAAAGGCCTTGTTGGCTACCACCATAGTGGAGTGGTGGTCAGATTCTCTAGGAAAGAGCTAGGGCCAGGGCCAAAATGGGGTAGGACAGCGAGAGTGATCTTGCCCAGGACCAAAGTTAGAACGGGACAGTATATGTACTGAGGCCAGAATGAGTACCTCCTCTGGCTCAATAATTACCAAAGGCCCTAGACAAGAGAGAAAAAGCCATGTGCTCCAGGGCCAGTACCAGCGTCACGGCTTTTCAGAGGAGCAAGCAAAGATGATTTTGTACACCACCATAGAAGACTATGAGGAACAGTAGGACAGATCGGATTCTATTTTGTTGGGGCCCCAAGAGCCAGTGTAATTGTGTGGTGTGGGGAGACTTCATGGTACACAGGGGATGAAGTATTCTCTAGTGACCCAACCCTTTTAAGCCCCCCTCACAGAGACGTCACTGTCGTGGGACTGAGAACTATTAAACACACCATCCTCTCCTGCTGCTCCAAAGGTACGATTTAGACAACCACAAAGTGGTCTTATAGTTCCTGTACCTCCCCAAATTGTATGTGGCTTTAATGAATCCAGATCTATTACCAAAGCAACAGGCCCAGGTAACTTTCAACTCACCTGGTGTATGGGCTAAAGATGATCCACCCAGCGTGGCCCAGAACATCCCAGACAGCCAATTCCCCAAAAGCAGTATTTTATCCCTCACAAGGCACAGGTTGGGATCTAGAAACACCTGGAGAGGCTCCCAAGCTGTGGGATCCTCCAACCTTGCAGTGCCCTTGGAACACACCCTCCAGCTGTCCAGATGCTGGGCACAGATGACTGGGCCACTTCAGGATCCTCGAGCAGTAAGCCAGTTCTCGTCACCCTGCACCCCGTTGTCTCAAATCCTTGCACTCTCCCGGGTCTCATCCTCGTTGCAGCTGCCTGCTTTCCATGGTACACCTCAGAGGTGTCTCTTTCTACCTCTGCCTGGTACCACAAAACCAGTGAATCTGCCTTCCAGTGGAAAAGTTCAGAAAATAATGGCAAAGACTGGCAGAATTGGACCAGGCTGCCCCTGGGGTTCAAAACTTTCCTGACCATTGTTGGCATGGTGCCAGCTACTGGTCTGAGAGCCTTTCCGGCAGATTGGCACAGCCGTGTCTTGTTCCGGTATGCAACTAACTTGCTGCTGGCCAGAAGGTCCCAAGAGGATGACATGGAAGAAGCTCAACAGCTCCCCACTCTGCTGTGAGAGGCCAGGTACAAGGTCTCCAGAAAAAAGGGCCCAGATTTGCGAGGAGGAATTAAAATATTTTATTTTCCATTTGTCACAGGGACAGTGTCAACTCGGGTCTGAGAGAAAGCAGGTAGTTTCCTCAGTCACCGTACTGACAAGCAGACTCCAGGTCTGGGAGGTCCTTGCAGCCACAGGTTTTTGTAGAATTTGGATACCTAACTTCACAGTCTTGGCAAAACCCCCTTAGAAAGCCACAAAGAGGGAAGAAGGAGAACCTCTGTTGTGGAAACAAGTACAGCACAGGACTCTCAAAGAGATCAAACAGACCCTCACCAAAGCACCAGGCCTGGGACCCTTGGACTTACTGCTTCTCGGACATGGACAGGCACACCGGCAGTGCAGATGTTTTAACCCAGATGTTGGGGCCATGGGTCGGCAGCGGTGTACCTTTCCAAACAGCCTGGCTTGGACTGGCCACCCTATTTGCGAGTGCTAGCAGCTACTGCCCTCTGGGTGGCAGAGGCTGAAAGCTTTGGGGCAAGAACAGACTGTCCCTATGCCATATTCAGTATTGACATTAATAGAGTAGAAGGGACAATATATAGAGATTCTAAGTATGCCTTCACCACTGCATGTACATGGACCTCAATATAAAGGAAAGAGAAATATAAAATACGGTAGAGAAATGGTTGAACTTCTCAATGTTATATCCGCATGCGCCAAAAGAGAGGCAGTCATGCACTGTCAGGGACACCAGACAGGAAACACCATGGTCACTCAGGGAAACCAGGAGGCAAAGCTCAGGGCCTCCAGGGGCTATAGCTGCTGCACTGTTCCTAGCCCATGGGTTTAATTATAATAGTACTTGGTTTAAGAATGAAATAAAAGGGCTGTTGAGATAGCTTAGTGAACTAAGCACCTGCATAGGCAAGCACAAGGACTGGGGTTCCATCCTTGAACCCCAGGACTGCAAGCCGTGCTGGCCCCACCCCTGGTGCGCTGCAACCAAGGGCAGGTGTGGTGGCACATACCTGTGATCTCAGTGCCGGGGAGGCTGAAAACAGGATCACTGGGTCCAAGCTGCATAGTGAAACCCTGTACCAAATAGTTAAAAAAAAAAAACAAACAGAAAACAAGGTGTGGCACACACCTGTAATCCCAGCACTGGGGAGACTGAGGCAGGAGGATCTCAGTTGGAGGCCCACCTGGGCTACAAAGTGAAGAAAAGAAAAGCTACCTCTCAGGTGGCTGGTGAAAATTTGAAGGCAGCAGGGCTGCAGTCCCTTAGGTACTAGCTCCACTTTCATCAGGAAGTTTCCTGAGGACACCCATTTGGGCCAGAGGTGACTGTGGTGGGTTGACAGTTGGTGTCCATGGCCCTCTGCATAGCCTAACTGTGTAAGCAGTGTGGAGGGTGCCCACAATAACCCACAGCAGGGTTCCAGGGCTGCTCCTGGGGTGCTGTGTCGGGGAGCCCCATTTGGAAATTGGTTGTGGGCATCCCTGAGTGTTCCCCCAGTCCGTGGCTGCAAGCATTTGTTAGTCATCGTGTGCACCCTCAGGTTGGGCGCCTTCCCCACCCACACTGCAAAGGCTTCTGAAATGGCCTGATTCCTTTAGAGAGATATTATTCCCTGTTTAGAAGGCATAGGATCAGCCAGTGACCAGGCCAGCTTTAGTCGAGGGGGTGGTACAGCTGGTGACCACGGGACTAAAAATTGCATAGAGACTACATACAGCATGCCAACTGGACTCTGAGACCACAGCTGAGCAGACTGTCAAGAAACTAGCTGAACTGGGACCAACTGTCCCTTGTATCCCTGCTGAGGACTAGGCCTAGTCTCACTAAACAAATTGGGTTCTCTCGTGTGAAATTCTCTATGAGAGATTCCTCCTCTTGTTAAGGGATAAAGAGGGCTTGATAATCTCACCCTGAGGCAACAGACGGGTTTAGACTCAACATTAGCCACTCTATACCACTAGGTTGGAGAACAAGTGCTCATGAGTTTGACCACAGACACTTGATCTTGAACAAGATGTTGTGCAGGGATAAAAATATGCAACCCCTGAAGCCCCTTTAGAGGGGCCCATTCACTGTCATGCTATCCCCCCTCCCCCCCCATGAAGGTGACTGCAGTAGCCCCCTAGATTCACACCTGGGGTTTGGCTTCTCAAAACCTCAATCATTAAAAAACAATTGCCTTGTCTGATGGGAATAGAAGATCCACTGTGACTGTCAGAAGTCTGCCATGCCTAAGTCACAGGTTGTATAGTTTAACCACCTGGAAAACCCAAGGGCAAGGTCCTCAGATTATCTCGAACCAGATCGAACCCCTACCTAACTTCTCCCATCTCTGAGAGGCTTGGAACAGTGTTGGCGCAGCCGTGGATGGCGAACCCCCAGTAGACTGTACCAGGTCTGCAGGAGAGCAGCCTACGCCGTGCTCCCCAACTGGGCAGGGTTGCATACATTCACAGCAGTCTTCATACTCCCACTTGCCCAGAGGGAACTTCTGGGAGTCCAGTTATATGGATGGGGACAGAAGCTAAGAAGACTGCGTGTCCTACAGATTGGTGACTAACAGGATTCTGAATGGCCTCCTGAGCATATGATCCAATATTATGGCCCTGCCACTTGGCAGAAACTGGGTGGCCCTGGCGCTACCACACCCTCATTTACATCCTGAACTGCATAGACTATATATAGTTGTACAAATTATAGCTAATAAGACTACCAAAGTGTTTAACTTGTTAACAAAACAGCAAACCAAAATGTGCAGTGCTATCAAAATCAGTTAACCTTGGCCTATTTATGTGCCTCCGAGGAGTTTGTGAAAAGTTTACAGCAACCACTGTCTACAGACGATAAGAAAAAAGTCATAGAGACTGCAGATCAGATTAAAACAAATTGTTCATGTCCCGTCCCTGACCTAGAAAGGCTGGAACCCTGAAAAATTGCTTAAAGGATGGTTTTCAACCTTTGGGAGATCCAAAGCCCTAGTTCCTAGGTATTGTGTTCCTAATAAAAGCTTGTCTAACCCTACCCTGCCTAGCTCCCTGGTTAAACAGTCTCCAGCCTCATTGAGTCATTGGTCAAAAGAAAAATGGCCATACAAGATACCATAAAAAGAAACATGTAATCAAGGCGATGCTCTCTGATCCAAAAGAAGGGGATGAGGGGATGCGGAGCCAGAGAGATGGCTCAGTAGAATAAGTACTTGCGCAAGCACAAGGGCCTGAGTTCAATCTCCAGTTCCGGGGGGGGGGGAGAATTGGGGTGGGAGCATCAAATGAGACTCTGGTGGCAGGACCCTTCCCCAGACACAAGGCCCTCCCCTCCCAAAGGAATGCAGTGGACAGGCAAAAAAGCAATGAGAGGCTTACCAGTTAGCTCAGTTTTTGAGTGCCTGCGTGGGCAAACCCAGTCAGGCTTGCTGGACCGCGGTTCGATCCCAAGCTCCCCATGCTACACCACATCAGAACATAAGGCAGCCTGAGCCACCAAAAAAAAAAAAAAAATTCTCAAAAAAAATGATGAGGCACAGTTAGTTCCCAGATAGGAATGTGTAGTTCTAGTATGGCTGTGTGACACAAGTTGTACCCAGTCAGGCCATTGTCATATGTTAGCATTTAGGAGAGACAGTTGGGGCCAGGGAGATAGTTCAGCAGCATAAACGCCTTCCTGGCAAGCACAGGTACTGAGTTTGATCCCTGGTACCTCCCCCTTCCCCCTTCCACCCCCAAAAGAGTCAAAGACACAAAAACTGTATGAAAAGCAACACTCTGGGGTGATTGGGACTTCACCAACCTTTGGGCCCCAACTGGCCCAAATCCCAAGAATCCCACTTAAGTTTGTAGGGTTAGCAGCGAGGCAAAGGTGAAGGAACAATAGTTCTTAACCAGATCATAAATTGTGAATTCACTGGTCTTGTGAAATTTAAAAAACAGGTGAGTAGAGATGGTCATAAAATACAGTTCAAGACTAGAAATGATCCATGTTCAAGCATAAATTGAGTGGGGCTGGCGAGATGGCTCAGTGGAATAAGCGCTTCCCTGGCAAGCGCTGTGGGCCTGAGTTCAATCCCCGGTTCTGCCAAAAAAAAAAAAAGCATAAATTGAGGGCCACGCAAAGAAGCTTGGCTTTTTCTGGGCCGTCTTCTCAATCTTTTTCATGTAGTAATTTTGTCTTTTCCTCTCATGACTAATTCGGCTTAATACTCTAGACCATGGAAAGTGGACGTGGCATGTCTGATGACTTCTCTCGCCCTTTAGGTACATCCAGAAAGTGCCCAAAAGAAGTTTCCAGTCAGAAAAACTGAAAAAGCGGTATTTATAACACTGTTGGGCTTTGCGGACAATTTGTTAAAATGGCAGAAAGTAGTGAAAATAGTAATAAAAATGTAGACGTGAGACCCAAAACCAGCCGGAGCCGGAGCGCGGACCGGAAGGATGGCTACGTGTGGAGCGGCAAGAAGCTGTCGTGGTCCAGAAAGGGCGAGAGCTGCTCGGACACCGAGGCGCCGGAGGGGTCCGGGATGGGGGCGGAGAGCGAGCGGCCGCTGCGGGGCCAGGAGCGGAAGCACAGCTGCTCGTCCCTGGAGCTGGACCTGGACCACTCCTGCGGGCACCGCTTTCTGGGCCGATCTCTGAAGCAGAAGCTACAGGATGCCGTGGGCCAGTGTTTTCCGATCAAAAACTGCAGCAGCCGCCACTCTCCCGGGCTTCCAGCCAGAAGAAAGATCCATATCAGCGAGCTCATGCTGGACAAATGTCCTTTCCCGCCGCGCTCAGACCTGGCCTTCAGGTGGCACTTCATTAAGCAGCACACCGCACCCCTTAGCCCCAGCTCCGACGACTGGGGCAGCGCTGACCTCCCCCAGCGCGACCCGCGGGATGCGCAGCTCCAGCCCAGGAGGGCCGAGGCTATGTGTGGCAGACCGCAGCCGGGCGCCCCGACTCCCGGCGCCACATCCGCCTCTGCAGCCAACCTGGCGTCTGGCAGCAGTGTAGAGGACAGCGACATGGACTCAGACGAGGACATGGTCACACTCTGCACAAGCTCCAGGAAGAGAAACAAGCCCAAGTGGGAGCTGGATGAGGAGCTGCTGCGGCTAGAGACGCCACCCAAGTACCACACGCAGGTGGACTACGTGCACTGCCTGGTGCCCGACCTGCTGCGCATCAACAACAACCCCTGCTACTGGGGCGTGATGGACAAGTACGCGGCCGAGGCGCTGCTCGACGGCAAGCCGGAGGGCACCTTCCTGCTGCGGGACTCGGCGCAGGAGGACTACCTGTTTTCTGTCAGCTTCCGGCGCTACAGCCGCTCCCTGCACGCCAGGATCGAGCAGTGGAACCACAACTTCAGCTTCGACGCGCACGACCCCTGCGTCTTCCACTCCCCCGACATCACCGGGCTGCTGGAGCACTACAAGGACCCCAGCGCCTGCATGTTCTTCGAGCCCCTGCTGTCCACGCCCCTCATTCGGACCTTCCCCTTCTCCCTGCAGCACATCTGCCGGACGGTCATCTGCAACTGCACAACCTACGACGGCATCGACGCCCTTCCCATCCCATCCCCCATGAAGCTGTATCTGAAGGAGTATCACTACAAGTCCAAGGTCAGGGTCCTCCGCGTGGACGCCCCGGAACAGTGCTAGAGGCCACTTCGCACGGTGTCTCGTTCTTTTATGCCTCTGACTTTTTCTACGAAGGCAGTCTTGGTATAAAAGAAACCTCTGCCCTAAACTTGACTTCCACATTAGTTTATTTTTCGTATACTTTAATTATTTAAGGTTATACCCAGGAGGTTAATAGATGTTTTTAACCAGATGTTTGAGTTTTGCTTTTGCTATGTAGGTTGTATACTTAAACTTTTTTCTTTACCTAATTTATATATGATCTGGGCATATTTGAATTTAGTAGGCATTGGAAACACATTTGAATATCATATATTAACTGTTTTAAAATAATCTTGTATTTTTTGCTACATGTAAAATAACCCATTAATCTATACTATCAGTATTCCTGAACATAAAATACTTTCCCAGCTCCTTTTCATTGAGTTTTGAAATTTTTCAATAGTGTTACAACTCATTCATAGTAATGCAGTTCTTTTTTTTTTTTTTTTTTTTTAATTTGCTAACAGGGATGTTAAAAGTAACAATTACTTCAAGTCAAATTTTGTGTGGGTTTATTTTTTAGACAGGGTCTTGCCATGTAGCTCAGGCTGGCCTTGAACTCATGGCTATCTTCCTGCCTCAGCCTTCTGAGTGCTGGAATTACAGACATCAACACCCCTAGCTTGTTTTAAATACTAATTATAAAAGAGAATCACTGTATTGTTGATTCATCTGGCCAGTGAGAGTCAATGATTACCTGACCACCTGGAAGAGCATCAGCCGCAGTGTGGCGGGGTAGCTCCTTACACTGCTGAGAAGCCCCTTCTCCTCCCTAAGCCATCTTCAGAACATTCATTTTGTCCCTTTCTCATTGGGCACTTTAAAAATAATGGTAACACTATTAGCAGCTAGCAGTTGCTACAGTAACTGGGGTTTTTCTGTATTATTATGAGTAGTTGCTCTTGCATTAGGCCTCTTAGATGAGCTCTGGGCCTGGGCAAATTGCAGTTGATAAATAGCCACAGATTTCCTCTGGTAACCCAAGAGTACCTAAATACTGCTTCGTTATTTTAAGTTAAACTTGAATAAAGAGGCAAGAAATAAGCATGGAGCTTACTATTGAGAAAGCTTAATATTTTTTTGATCTTCAAGTTTCAAATATTTTTTCCTGTTTTCAGAATTAACTGAGATCTTTAAAGAGGCTTCAATAAAGAGCTTTTTTTTTTTTTTTTTTTTTGTATTTTAGTACAGTGTCTCACTGCGTAGATCAGACTTTTAGTGATCCTCTTGTTTTCAGCCTCCCAAGCACTGAATAAAGCGCATTTTGACAGCTACATGGCTTATGTCCTACCAGACAGTAGGACAAAAATGATATTTCAGAGAATAGGGCCATAGTCTCAGAAATGTCATTAATTCCATGTACCTAAATATGATAGACTGATACCCTTTCTCTTTTTTAAAAGAATCAATGACTAATATAAGCAGATACCAAATTTTTCTCCCAGTAGGCTGTTTATCCCTTTGTATAAATTGGAGGGGGGGGGTTGGTTTTGTTTTGTATTTGTGAGACAGGGTCTCGTGATGTAGTTCAGGCTGGCCTTGAGCTCACTTTCTAGCCCAGGCTGGTCCTGAACTCGGTGATCTTCCTGCTTCAGCCTCCCAAATGCTGGAATTACAGGTATGCACCCCATGCTAGGCAAGTTGGCATTTTTAATACGGTTGTTTCTTTATGCTGGTTTAGCTAGATTAAGAAGCTTTGTTCTACCTGGATTGGAAGAACTTTGACTCCTCCAAATTTGCAAGTTAGAACAAATGCTTCTTATCATGTCTATGTTAAAATAGCATTTTCCTGTCCTGTAGTTCTGCTGTTAACATAAAAATGGCATTTTTCAATAATGGCTTTAAAATAAGTTTCCAGTAATTAAGAAACAAAGCCAGAAAGTCTCCATTACCGTTATGGTGTAGCCTTTGTGTTCTCAGTGGTCTCCAGGCAGACTCGGTCTGTGAGGGGAGCAGTGGCTGAAGGGGCTGCTCTGCCAGCCGTGAGGGGCCCAGGACACGAGACGCCAGTGCCAGGGTAGACGTCGCTTCTGAGGGGATGTCTACCTTCCATGCAGCAGAAAAGCCTCACTACCTCATCTTCACGTGGCGCTTTTGTCGATCACTGAGAATCTTCTCCTATTAACCAATGTCAAACTTCCTAAAGACCCATCTTTGATGAAAGACAATTAATAGTGTGGTAAGACTCTACCCATAAGTATAGTTGTTGTTTTTTTATCAGAATTTGATAAGACTTTCTGTTTCCATGAAACAATTATTTAAACACTTTTCTTTTAAAAATAACTTTTTATCAGTACAGAAAACCTAAGGGATGACTAGCTTATGAATATTATGTTAAAGGGTAGTTTTTTAAAAGAAAATGAAGTATAATTATGTTGTCTTTTATAGTGATAAAATGTTTATATGAACGTTTAGCTTTTCATATGATTCAAACTGATTACTTGTGATATATTTTCTCTAGCTTTTTAATTTTTTTCAATTCAAAGTATTAACAGCTATTAACGTTTTTAAAATACTACCATATATGCATAGCCTTGAGGTCTAAATGAGAATAGGGAAGCTCTTTTACTCTGGAATGGTTTGTATTTTTCCTTCTGTACTGGCCAGATGGAAAGAAATTTGGAAAGTAGAAATATAAAGACTTGAGAAGGGAATTATTTATCTTGAAGGAACAGGGGAGAGATAATTTTTATAAATCCATACGAACTGGAATTTAGAAAGGTTACAATACCCCCATTCTGGTTTTGTGACACTGTAGCATCTGGGAGAACATCAGTATTCAAAACCGAGCTTATAAGAAATGCTTACAGAGATACTTGTTATGCTGTATAAGGAAAATGAGTGACTTTCAAGAAGAAAAATGTGATGAATAAAACGTTTGAAAAGTGTGATTCCAGGGTTGAGAAAGCAGTGAGCGTGGTGCGACGGGCTGCAGCTAGAGAAGCCAGGTAAAAAAAAGCTTAAGCCTGAGCGTGTCGGCGTCGCCTCGGGAAGCCTGGCTGCTCGGTGGCTGAGGTGGCTGAGGTGGCTGAGATCCGCTCCGGGCCACACTCAGCTGCGCCTGGGAGTCGTCCTGTGCACATAGGAAGGAAACTGGACTTCGCTGTTTTTCTCTAAAGCTTTTCAAGACGTAGCGCTTCCCTCCTATTAAAATCAATGTGTCTTGGTTCAGAGTGTAATTCCTGAAATGTGCTGAACTTGAGTTTCTTTTAGATTCTTTCATGTTTTGTCTTGCATCGTGCTCTTTCTGTAACTGTGCCATTCACCTAAATAATTCATGAACAGAATGGTTTAATTTAAAGGAAGACCTAATAGGAAGATTAAAGGAAGCTTTTAGTCAGCCTGAGGCCAGATTTATTGATTTGGTGATCAGACCTAGGTACTTTCCTGAATTTTAGCTAATGGCCAACTGTGGTCAAAGAATGGCTTTTCAGTGAAAGTTTTGATTTCTTGTTATAAATTATATAATGTGTCTTACTAATTAGGAATCCTTTAAAAAGCAAAACGAATGTGGCAAATAGGACTCATCATTATACAAATTACATTTCTTTTTATAAGAAAAACACATAAAACCATTATCATTTATTCATGAGCCAAAGCCATTAAGAAGATAAATCAGGTTACCAACTTCCTGTCTGAAGTTTGGATCATTTTATAGATCCAAGTAATAGAGCACTTCTTCCTTCCTATGAAAGAAAAACCTTGACATCAAGTCTTAACACTCCTATTTTTTTATTTAAAATATTTTTTGTCATTTTAGCTAGAATCAGAATCCCACGAGTAATTTGTATGTTGATCTGGGTGGAACAACTTCCCCAGGAAGGTAGATATGTATGTTTCTAGAGATAACAGTGTTTAAGGTTAGATAATTTAATGCCCAAGTGAATAAAAGATTTTAGGGTCAGGAATCCATTTGTTTCTACCTTGGGAAAAATGTCTACCATTTTTGTTTTAACCTAAGCAGTTTCCATTTTTCCATGTAAAGAATGAACAGAAAGCACAAAGGGTTTTTCTCAGTGGTCTACTAGACATAAGCCACGCCTGCTATTTATAGTAGTCTGCTGCACTAGGATGCTGAACACAAATTGGCCTGTAGGTACAGACAGGCAAATGATTATGATCTAAGAGAATGGAGTTTAGGGTACATGAAATCTGTCTCACAACTAAATGTTTGTAATTTACTTTGGAATTCTGAATATTACTCAATCCTAAATCTTCCTTTGCCTTCATGTCCCATAAAACATGAGAAAGGCTTGTCACTTGACTTGTGCAGGTTAGTCCTTCGTGAAGGAGTGACCGTTGTAGCATACTTGAAAATCCTTGCTGTTGCGTACTAAGGTGATCAGAGGTTTTCAGACTTGCCCTGACTTAGGCCCTGTCGACTCGGCCTTCACAGGCTTCTTGGTTGATCTGACGGTGGACCTAGCAGTAGTTTCCATCTCTCTTCCATTCTGCACTTCAATGAGCAATTGCAGTTTTCTTCTGCCCTTTACAAGGCCCATGCAAAATTGGTATTTGTTTAACTTAGTTTAAAAGTCGATTGCATTTGCAGGAAATGAAGAGAATCAGTTTGCCAAGTTTATAACCAAATCTAAGCTTTCAGACATGAGAGCCATGATGTGAAACTGAAGGAAGTTTATTCAAGTTACCTTGCCCGAAGTGGATAAACTCTCCACAGGCCAAGTGTAATTGACATACTTGAATGAGTAGACAGAGTTTAAGTAGCAAGTTTGAAAAGCATTTGTTTTTGTCAGTCAGCCTTGTATGTCATTCACTCCTTGCCCCAAAAGAAGTAGACAGTTTCCTTTGTGATCTTGATGTTTAATGTTTCTTCATGGATGTAAGTTTAAATTTGAATAAATTTTCATTTAATTAAATCTTCATGTATGAGATTTAAAGTCTGTATTTTGTTCTAAAAACATACCCTTATATCACATATTGAACTTGGAATCCAAAAGACAGAAATTGAAATGCCTGTATTACACACCACCAGTTTGTAAAACTTGTAGTTTTCAGTGCATCACTAGGGTCTTCAGAAACAGAAGCCCAGCCCAAAGTGGGTTTGGGGGAGCCCAGAGGAGAAAGGAACAGGAGAGGACGGGCCTCTGTGCCATACTGCTGGGCCCACCCTGAACTAGGAGGCCTGGGCAGCACAGCTTCCGAGAATTAGGCAGGACCAAGCCACGATGGTCTGCAGAGCATCCCAGAGGTGGAGACAGCCCACACTGCCCATCACTGACACCCAGGGCCAGGCCCAGGAGGTGGATGCTTCCAGGGGGCACAGGGTGTTTGTGACCAAAGACTAGAGATACTTCGATGCATTGTTTAAAATCAGAACTGATGAGGAAAAAAAAAAAAAAATCTGATGAACAGGATACTAAAACTTTAAACTCAGCCAGACCATGTTATTGATTTTTCCTGTTGCTTCAGGCTTCAGTGAGTCAAGTTGCTGATTCATGGCCTCCTGGGAGGCCAGAAGGTCTACCACATCAGTGGGTATTTTCCATAGCCCTTGTGCCCTCAGCAAATAGGTTCTGGTACTTGAAGTTCTTGCACCTTTCTCAGTAAGAGAACTGTGCATGGCAGGAGGCAGAGGTACAATGCAGGGGAGGACACATAGTCAAAGGTCCATCCAACGCTAACAGGTTACATGTGTATTGTGTACATTAAAAGATGTTAATGTTGCATATCGTTTTTGTTTTGTGGCGCTGCCGATTCAACCCAGCACCTTGAGCATGCAAGGCAAGAATTCTACCACTGAACCAAATACCTAGGCCGTGATTGTTGTTTTCTGAGACAGTAGCAATTCAGGCCACCCAAACTCATAGCGGTCCTCCTGCTTCAGCCTCCCTAAATGGTGAGATTACAGGCATGTGCTACCACACCGGAATTAGGCCATATAATTTCAACATCTTCACTAGCTAACAGTTCCTTGAGAGCTGGAGTCATGTGTCAACCACTCGGGCCTGCACAGTAGGCACCTAAACGTTTATTCAAAACAGCCTGGCCTGTGACGCAGAGACCACGCGCTCAGCCAGTGCAGGCTGCTGAGTTCGAGCCCTAGTATGAAAGGAAAAATGCTAAAGAGATGTTGATCGCCTTAGTCTGGGCATTTTCACAATGTAGCAAGAACCTGTTGCAAAATAGAAAAGGGCAGGGGGGTTAATTGTAAAAGCCCTGGACTCCAAGCCTAGGACCACCGAGAAGGGGACACCGTTATCGACAGCCAGCTGTCTTTCTGGAACACACTGCTGCTTTCTCGCTTTTTTTTTCCAGAACCAGGGATCGAACTCGGGACCCTATGCTTGCCAGGCAAGCACTTACTCCACCGAGGTATCTCCCCGGCCCCACACTGCTTCTTAGAGGCCCTTGCAAACGTCTTTCCTCTCCCGCACTGACCTAGGTCGGCTCAGTTTTGCCCCAAGATCTGACCTGCGTCCACACTGGCCCAGCTCAGAGGCCGGGCAATCAAAGCCACAGACAGGGAATCTAAATCTGCCCTCGAGCCAACAAGTGAGCAGTGTCCGCAGGGCTGGCGGGAACACCACCTGCGGCACCGGCGGCCCCTCCGCCCTTTGGGGACGCCAAGCGCCAAGCTTTCGGCTGCGGAGCGCAGTTCCACCAGCGCCCAGCTGGGGGCGCGCAAGCGCAGTCTTTGGGAGGGCGGAACCGACCGGAAGGGGCGGGGCTTAGTGCTCGGCATTTCCTCTTCCGGCGCCAGGAGGAGGGCGCGCTGCTTGTGCTGTGCCGCGGTCAGTCAGGCTGCGCCCACTTCTTCCGCGTCTACCTCGCTGGGGCCCATCGCCGTCGCTGCGCTCCAATCCTGCCAGGTGAGGCCGCCGAGGGGTGCCCAGGGCTGGGTAAGGGGCGCGGGGCCGGGCCGGGGGCCAGGAGGCGGCGACGGCGCTGGTGGAGGCGCCAGGGTGGACGCGGCCGGGCGCGGTCCGTGGACTCCCGGGGGGCCGGGCGGGCGGCTGCCGTAGTCTTCCCGCGCTGAGGCCCCGGGTCGCCCGGGAAGAGAGGGAGACGTGGAGGAGGCTGACGTCAGGCGGGCCGCCCCTCCCCCACCGTGCGCCCGGCCCGCTCCGAGGCCGGTTCGCTCCGGCCGAGCCCCGACGCCTTTGTTCCCGGGGTGCCTCTCCGGGCCCGCCGCCGCCCCATTCATTAATTTCTCCCGAGAGGGGGGACGAGCGCCGATCGATGGTTACGAGACGCGCCGCGGATCACAGGCATCGTGACAACTGGAAAAGCTGCTCGCCGAGGCGGTGGGTGCCTGCTCGGTCTCCTACCTTTTAGGATCGAACAGGGGCCGCCAGACCGCAGAGCCCGTTCCCAGGGTAGTGCTTTAAACAGGATGGTTCCGGTATGGCAGCATGGAACAAGGTTCCACCAGAAAAAAAATAAGAGTACTGCAACCCATTAGAAACACTTGGACACCTGGTGATGGTTAAAGGTTGCTCTGATTTCGAGCCCTTACTACAGGCTTCGCCTGTAGAGATGATTCGTGAGTTCTTTGTTCAATGGTGCTACTTTGGGGGCAGGAAAAATAGAAATTTTTCCTGTTGCTCGTGTCTGTTTAAGCTTCCTGTGCAAAACGTTTGCTTCAGAAACGGTTTTGAGTTGCGCGAGTTGGAAACCCTCGCAGAAGGAATGGGTCTCACTGTAACCCGGGCTTGCTTAGCTCACCCGCCATCCTCCTGCCTCAGCCTCTAGAGTGCTGGGATTACCGGCGTGCATTATCACGCCAGGCCAGGAATTTATGTTATGTAGAGGGAGATAACACATCTCCATTAGAGTCCGAGTTCAGGCCTGTAACTCACAAAATATCTGAGGGAGGTCCTTAGTTCTGTCCCCAGCACATAAGAAAGAAAAAAAAACTGCGGCCATAGACGCGTATGTTAGCACTAAGGAGGGATTACCAAAAACAATAAATAGCTTCAGGTCAGATTTTGCCGCCAAACTTGGGAAAGTTTCTTTTGAGGGATTTCTGAATTGAAAACTGCAGGTAGAGGCCATGGATTTGTTACAGAGGTTGTAGAAGGTGTTCTCTGCCATGCAATGATTTAAGAGTTGTTTGTTTAGCAAAACTGGGAGGCAGATTTACTCCTGTCTTGAGGAACTGCAGTTTTATCTAGACAGTCTGAGCTTAATTTTATGTCTATATACGCAGGGAGAAAGGAGACTTGGGTATTTGCTGCCTACTCGCTCTTCTCCTAGCACTATTGGGGGTAGGGTCCCCTGGCCCTTTCTATGTAAGTAAACAAATTCACGAAGTAGGCTGTGAAACAATTCAAGGCTTTCTGTCGTTGCTATCACCTTTTCTTGCCATTTCCCAAGCTATTGCTACTGCCTGTGCTTCCCCAGCGCTAGTCGGACTTCCCTCCTGGTTGATACAAGATTCTCCTTGCACTGCCTACTGCTCTCTTGCTTTTCTTTTTAGATCAGAGACACGGCCTCTCAGGACCCCTCCCCATCCTGCTAATGCTCCCAAAGCCCTGTTCTGCCTGGCACACATGTTTCAATGAGTGTCTAAATAAATGTTAAAGGTATCACTGGATTTTTAAGTATTTGTAAATTTTCCATCCCAATTTCTTGAGATACCCAACAGAAAAAGTTGAGTATAGTCTGATAAAATAAATAGCCAATACTGAATCTAGTCTGTTTCTGATTGAGAATTTGTTTTCAGTCTCCTTCCCTTCACTAAACAAGTCACAAACATCCTGGCTGCCTTAGTTTCCCTTAACAGGTGTGTGTCTGGTGCTTTGTTGTTTTGCTCCTTCTCGAGCAAAAAATCAGAGTTCATGCCCAGAAGACTTACCTTGTCAGGTGGTGATCAGAGCTGCAGGGTGTAGAGCTCATGCTGCAGTGTCCTGCTTACACCGTTCCTCTGTTCAGACTCGTTGCACTGGGAGTCCAGCTCTCCGAAACTCCCTGTGACATTGTTGTCTTGCCTCTGAAGACCAGAGGAATTACTGAAATGTCTTATTTTTGTAGTGTAGGTCAAATATTTTGTCCTCTGGCTTAAAATCGTTATTCTTAGCTGTGCCTAGGAGTGCATGCCTCTGATGCTGACATTCTGGGAGGCGGACCACCAGGCAGCCAAGTGCCCCAGCAAGGCCCTCTCTGTCTCAGAGTTGGCCTGAATACACTCCCCAATACTAAAAATTAAAAATAACTTCTTGCAGCTCAGAAAATTATATTTTTTGAATGATGGCTAGACTGTGCTATAAAGTACTAATAGAGAGCTTTGCAAATAGTGGTGTTTGAGTATTGCAAAAAGAAAATGAAAACATTTCTTGATTATAAAAGTTTTGAACAAGTTAAGGGTTACTTTGGTCTCTTAGTAATTAGCACAGTTTTCAAGTGTTTGAGAATAGGTTTTTGGGCCATCCAGATGTTTTTACATTCTACAACTTGACTCTTGTTGAAGCACAGATGACC